TCATATGCTGCTCCTCCTACTAGTTCAAGATAGCAAAGCAAGAAGACCAATCAAGCCATTTTTTGCAACTGTTTCTCTGTGACTCATAAATATATGTACCATAAAATGAAGATATCAAAATGAGACACTTAACAAATGAAACCCAACCTTTTAACCAGACGAGCATGGTGCTGTGGCTACAAACTTGCCTCATAATTACTGCTGAAATCGTTATGGAGTGATAATTATAGCTTACTACTATTAAAGCTCCCTTTGTAACTAAAAAGCAAAAAAGTTCCTAATAAATCGCATCACACAAGAGGGCCCAGAAGAAACTATAGCATAAGAAGATATCAAGCACAAAGTAAGAAATTTATACAACAAAAGTGATTTACCTCGGAATTGTCAATCCGACAACGGACGACAGAGAGCGACCGTCGTCGCCGTGAATTCGCGTTTTCACGATCTGCTCCAATTTCCCTACCCCTAATTGCTGCATTACCACTGTTATCCCGCGGCTGTCTAGACACGGACCTTCGTCGGCTCGAATTGTTGCTTCCCGGATCTACCCTCACTGACCCACCACCGTTACCGGGATTTCCCCTCGTCGACGGCTGTCTAGACAACGACCTCCGCCGTCTCGAGCTTTCAGTATCAGCATCCAACCTCCGCAAGCCACCGTTACCAACCCTAGATACAGAACGCCCACGCCTTTGCGAATGAGTCAGCTCTCCTTCGCTGTTGCCCGATTTCCTCGAGCCAGATCGTCCTCTTTCTCCGCTGCTAACCCCGCTCTCGCCGGAGAACGAATCAAAGAACTCGACGGCTAAGTCATCGAGGCTAATTTCTGGGAATCCAGAACCCCTCACGGTGTTGACGAACTTCCCCTTCCTCATGGGTGTCACTTCGCCGTCTAGATCCGGCATGCGGTGGGAGAAACGGCTCAAGCTCCGGTATCTCCTGGGGGCAGACCTCCGCGTGGAGTAAGACGAGTCGTCGCCACTTTCGGAAGATTTGGCCGGTGCCGTCGTTCGCTTGATGGTTGGATTGAGGGCAGAAGTCGCCATTGGAAGGGAGACACAACCAGCTACTGGAGGAGGAGCGGATGGTTCCACATTTTGAAATTGTTGAGCTGTTCTAGAAATCAAATACATATGCCCATTTAATTCAATTTTGACTTAATAATCCATTCAAAATTTTAAAATAATATCCGTTTTTTAATTTTATTTTATCAATTTAAATTGTACAAATAACAAAAAACTATTTAAATTTTCAATCTTTATTTTATTTTTCCTGTTACGTTTTAATTTTCTGCTGTAAAGATTAAGTTGAACATAATGTTTTGAACAAAAACAAAAGTCTATTTAAATTTTGCATATTACGGCATCATCCAAAATTATTGACCATCTTTAGTTTGGGGCAATTACAAAAATATCACTTTTTGATGCCACTTTACTTTTTGTGTGCACATTTGCAAGAATGTTACTTAGGGGTGTCCATTTACAAAATTGCCACTAATTATAGATTTATAAAGCATATATTTTAAAATTCTAAACCTTAAAAAATGTTTTGACACCTAAAACCCTCCTAAACACTCAAAACTAAACCCT